AATTTTGCTATTTATATTTGACAAATATTGAACAGTGGGGGTGCAAGTGAGGCTTTTTATCATGGATTTTTAGTGCATGTTTATACAATGTTTCTGTCGGCTTTGGAGATGTTTTACACACCTGAGACCACCTTGTAATACAATTAGTGCTGTCATGCGATTAAAAAAATTGAGAGATTAATTAATTATGATATATATATATATAATCTCATTTTAATCTCACCTAAAAATTGCTGAGAAAAGCCTTCAATTTGAGGTATTTTCATTTAAATTCATTATTACATTATTGTGGCAGATCAAAAGACTAATATAGATTTTAAAAAGTGACTTTATAAAGTCATTTATTGTTTAACAAATCTCTCCAAATTGGCTGTTGAGCCCAAGTCTCCATGAATAAGAAACTGTTTGTTGTAAAGTAGCAAAGACGAGGAAATCTGAACATAATAACTTTTGTCTACTTAAAGACAATAAAAAGTCCAGTCTTTCCTTAACCATATTAAAAATATCATTGATAGAGAAATGCTTTATATATGAGATCACTGGTTTTAGTCCTGGTTTAGACCTGGTTTAGACCTGCTTTAGTCCTAGTTTAGTCCTGGAATAGATTAATCCTGGTTTTAGTCCTGGTGTTAGTTGTGGTTTAGTCCTGGTTTAGACCTGGTTTAGTCCTGGTTTAGACCTGGTTTAGTCCTGGTTTAGACCTGGTTTAGTCCTGGTGTTAGTTCTGGTTTAGTCCTGGTTTAGTCCTAGTTTAGACCTGGTTTAGACCTGGTTTAGACCTGGTTTAGTCCTGGTTTAGTCCTGGTTTAGACCTGGTTTTAGTTCTGGTTTTAGTTCTGGTTTTAGTTCTGGTTTAGTCCTGGTTTAGTCCTGGTTTAGACCTGGTTTAGTCCTGGTGTTAGTTCTGGTTTAGTCCTGGTTTAGTCCTGGTTTAGTCCTGGACTGGATTAGCCCTGGTTTTAGTCTTGGTGTTAGTTCTCGTTTAGAGGCGCACAGGAGGAAGCGCGGTTTACGCAGCGTAGCGAGAAAACACGATCCACACGCGGCGCACGGGAGCACGTCGGTGTCCGCGCAGTGTCTACGGAAGGAAACCTGGTCCGCGCGTTCTCAGGTTAATGACGATGATGAAGGTGTGTGTTTGTTTGTGTCTGTGTGTGTTTGTGTGTGTGTCCCCTCATGTGGCAGGTCACTATAGGACAGTAGTGCAGACATCATGAGCCTATGCAGGTTGTTTTCACCAGTGACATTTAAGATGTAGGCGATATTATATTTGTTAATTTCTTTTATATTTCACGTCGGGAGAATAATTTCCAAGACACGAATGCGTTTTTACCTGTGCGCTGCTGCCTCTGTTCTACTGGCTCTTCGACCTCGTCCATTGTGCGACTGACGCCGCCAACGTTAACATGACGTTTACATCGCTGTTACTGCGTTTTGTGTGGGTTTCCGGCAATGAGTGGAATTACCGAAATAAAAAAAATCATAAATGTGTTTTGTGTGTGTGTGTGTGTGTGTGTGTGTTGTTGTCCCAACAACACATAAAAACAGGTTTTATAATAAAGAAACTCACATACAGAAACACTAAAGTTAGAGATTAAAAATGAGATTAACGCGATTAAAAAACACAACGCGCTAAATATGACTGTAATTAATTAATCGCAATTAACGCGATCATTTGACACCCCTAAATACAATATCGAAGATGCGAAACAATCATGGCATTAAAATATGTATATGATGCCTCAACTGTAAAAGAATTTCTAATATGTTTAAAATTCATCAAGTTAAACTTCAGTGCATTTCCAAGTTTTTTTTATGTGACTTATAAAATTAAGTTTTGAGTCAAATAATAAACCAAAATATTTAAATTCATCTACATTCCTAATGTTTTGTCCATTTATAAAAATTTCATGAGTCTGTTGAGATTTACGCTTAATGATAACAAATACTGAAACCGTTTTAACAATATTTAAGGTAAGGCAGGAATTCTGAAGTCAATTTGCAACCTTTTCCATTTCTCTTGTCAGTTTTTCTGTTACCTCCGATTAGTTTTTCCCATAAGTAAAAAGCACTCATCATTATTATACATTATTATATCAGCATCAGTACATTTATATAAATACTAAACAGCAAAGATCCAAGAATAGACCCCTGGAGCACTCCCACAGACGTGGCTTTAAAGGGTGATAGTGTGTTATTCAGTTGGATACACTGAATCCGGTCACTCATATATGACCTATTCCAGTGTTGGATGTGCGTGGAAAGGTTGTAGTCATTTAGTTTGCTGAGAAGTATCTGGTGATTTACAATGTCGAAGGCTTTACGCAGATCAAGCAAGACTGCTCCAACTACTCTTCCCTGATCTTTGTGAGCCCTGATACTTTCCAGAAGGTAGCAGGCTAAGTCTGTTGAGTATTTTTGTCTAAATGCAAATTGCATTGGGTGTAAAGAGAGTTTGAATCAAAGTGTGCAGTAAGTTACTCTGCCACAACCCTCTCAAGCACTTTAGAGACACCTGGGAGGAAGCTTATAGGGCGATAATTGCGAACATCTTGTCTGTCACCTGATTTAAAAATAGGGGTGACTACGGCAGGTTTTATGGCTCCAGGAAACACACCCTCATAGATAGATTTTAAAAATCAGAATATTAAAGGGACCAGAAAGTGCCCCTTTGTTTCTTAAAAAAAGGTATCAACTGCTTAAATATCCTTTGATTTACTACTATTCAGTGAACAGATAATTTTCCCAACCTTGATTTCATTTGTTGGTAATAGATTAAAGTTGGATTGATTTCTGATTGGGGTAGAGGGAATAGTTTGAAAGTTCGGAGACAGTTTATGGACTGAATAAAAAAAAAAAAAAATTTAATGAATTGCTATTACCAAAACATAGTCAAGTTTGTCAGTAGTTTCCCCACATGATTTGACTATTACCTTGTGCATTTTTAATTATTTCAAGAAAAAAGTTTGGCCCATGACAGTGGCTGTGACTTTATTTGGTAAATGGTCACATTTTTCTATAGCACTTTTCCACCTTCAAGGCACTCAAAGCGCTTTACAACAAGGAACCACTCACCCATTCACACACCAGTGTACACAGACACTGTAGGCAAGGTGGGTTAAGTGTCTTGCCCAAGGACACAACAACAGCATTCATCTGTATGAGCTGGAATCACACCAGCCAACCTGTGGGTCAGTGGATCTGACTACTCAACCGATGATGTTTATGTTGAGAGCTGGACTCAAACCGCCAACCTTCAGATCAGTGGGCAAATGCTCTACCAACTGGGCTACTGCCGCTCTCAGACTTGTGAAAATTAGATGACCGGTAGATAATTCTAATTTTAAGAATATTTCGAAAGACGCGTCTCGTTTTTTCATTAGGTTGAACATTTGATTTTCTTGGAATGTTTTTAGTATACTTTAATAGAATATTGTTTAAAACTGTCATTAAATCGTGACAGCCCTGCTCCCGCTCACAGGATTTAAGTGCAATAAGCTCTTCCCACCTTATTTAATATAATTTTCAACCAATTGTAAATCTCCCTTTCAAATAATTGCAATGCATTCAGTACTTTACTTTTTATGGGTCTTTCTCTATTATACCGTGCTTTAGTTAGTTTTCTAGATACTAATGTCAGATTGTGGTCTGACATGCCTGTGATTATATTATATGTTTTTATCATTCATTCAGGCTTGTAAATATTAGATCTATTAAGGTCTGAGAGGATTTGGTTGTTCAACATTTCTGTCATTTGAAATGATTCTGTTATTTCCTTTAATTTTTTTCCTTCAGGATTTTTCAGACCAGTTTATACTGAAATCACCCAATAGTATGACTTCCTCTCCATCACACTGTTATAGTATTTTATCCAAGGAGACAAAGAACTCATTGTAGCATTTGGGGTCAATATAGTACTAATATGCAAAATGTAATTTCAGGAGAGACAGTAAACAGATAGATAGATTTTACTTGCACATATATTAAAAACAACATTTTGAACAGGTAAAAACAGAAATGACTGTGCAGTAGAGAATGAGAAGACCTTACTGCTCTTATAAGATCACCTCCCCCATAAACATGATTTTATCACAACAGTCATGAACAGGCAAGTTGACTTACAGTAGTCCAAATATTAAATAGCATTACAAATCAATGTTTGTCTTAATTGTCTTATAAAATAGTCCAGTGAGGAAATTGATTTGAGAGTATTTGCTAAATTATTCCAGAGGGTCGGCCTCTGAACTTGAGTGTTCTTTGATTTATAGAAGTTCTGCACAAAGGAAGATAAAAGTCTCTGCAGAGTAATTGAAAATATGAGGACTGTATGTCCTTTTAATATAGAAAATGTAAACTAAAGTTAAACTCAACTGTTAAAATTGTTGTTTAAATGTATTAGTCCTAAAGTTGTTTATATTTGTTTTAGTTTTTGTTATATTCATTTAGAAATTGGACTTCACAGTCTAAAGATCCATCTCGATATTTATGTTTGAGCAGTAGCAAAAGGGAGTTTAACTCCTTGGCCCATATATACTTAACAATAGTATTCAACTGACTGCTTATTGATTTATCCTGTTGACCTACCACCATCTAGAGGTGACAAAGTGAATTACAGGCAAGTCTAGACTACACTACACTATTTTCTTATAACATACATTATTTTACATCATTTTGAAATCTCCCAATTTTTTTTATTTAATTTTATTTATTTTTTTATTGTTTTTATTTTTTTTTTTAAATGACACCGTAGTCAATTAACCTCGCGCAGTGAATTAATCTCGCGTGGTCAAAATTGGAGTTATGTAAAAAAAAGAAATATGCACGCCTAGTCACCTTAATTGTGTAGCCTGGGCCGATTTATTGCATTTTATGTCGCCATTTATTTAAAACTATTGAAACGTATCTCTTTTTTTCCTTCAAATGAGGCAGACGTAAATTCATCGCTCGCTCCACCCCCTAAAAAGTTACATTTCGCCTAATTCCCTCCTCTGTGCCGTTTTCATCCCACAATACCAAGGGGCCAGAGCACAGTATTCTAACTCGTGAAAGGGACCCAGGCACCTATGCGCAAAGAGCAGCCCGGATGATGTCTTTTGCGCGCCCGCTCTTCAATGACAGAGTCTCCGCAGAGAAGAAGAGATGGTCCGTGCTCCTGGACTTTGCCGTGTCCATGACCCCAGGCTCGTCCCGTTTGTTCCCGTAGTGCTGCTGCTGCTTCACTTCTGTGACTCTTTCAATCTGGACACAGAGCAACGTGTAGTCTTTAGTGGACCCCCGGGAAGTTATTTTGGTTATTCGGTTGAGTTTTTCGGCAATGCATCCAGGTAAGTTTAAATCAGGACTTCGAAAGTATCAAAATGATCTTTGAGCATCTTAATACATAAGTGTTGGAGATGCGTGTAGTGTAGATGGACAAACATGCATTAGCCCACTTTTCATATTGTTTAAATGTTAAATGCGCATCCTGTTGCTCTTTAAGTCTTGCAAAAAGGAGGACCCCTAATGCAAATAACTGACTATTTAAGAGATATTAAGCCAAGTAGTTCCACATCACCAACAGATATAAGATATAGCCTACTGCAATAATAGGCTATGAGCTATTGTTGTATTAGACAGGCTAGTAATGATACTTTGTGCAGGTAAAGACCAGCAAGCAAATGTTAATGTTTACAGTGCATTGTGTGAATCTATAATATACCATATGCAACTACTTATTAGGAATGTGTGCAGCCAGTATCAAACTTTTTCTCTCAAACCACTGGATTCCAGGTTTGTAGGCTACAATGATTGGAAACAGACACAGGAGCTGGGGATGGAGAGGAGGGGGTTAAACTCAGACAAGTCAAAATAAGCTAATGTTGTGAATGCTATGGATAGTGGGATTTTTTTGAGTGCAGTCTTTTTGTTGACAGATGAGAAACTGCTGAGTGAGTCCCAGCCAAAGATCAAACAGTGTCTTTATGGGAACAGCATGTAATGTCACCTGTTTTGGCTTACACTCTGTGGTATGATGTCGAGGAACACACACGTTTCATGTATGTTCAAACTCATAAGTCCTGGCTTGAGGGACATGTAAAGGATTTGTACAGGCACTTAGTATGTGCATCAAAACTAAAGTCTGATGTGGTTGATAGGCTCTACATACACTATGTTCGCTATATGTCTATGGCTACGGTGCTATAACAGTATTTGTAGACCTACTGGAAGAACAATGATTTTTACTTTCCAAATGGTTGTCAGGATATTAAAGGTCCTATAGTACACAAAGCTACTCTTGTGAGCTTTAAGCCATGTTATAATGTTGTTACGTCCTCAAAAACACACCTGGAGTTGTGTTTTCTTTCATTTACACATGCTTGAGTGTGAGTCTGTCTACAAAAACACATCTCCAAATACATTTGTGATGAGGACATAACATTATAACAGATAAGAGAATAGTGTAATATAGGGACTTCAATGTGTAATGCAGTTATGTCTCTAGTGCCCTATATCCATAATTAAGTCACGATAATTACAATACCAACTTATCATTCTACAAATTATAGCTTGAGCTATTTATTTTGGGGCTCAATATTTATTGTGAGTATATTTTTATGCAATACTTCAGAGATTTATTTTTGTATTTTTGTTGTAGTAATATAAGTTTGAATATAAGATCTGACCCACAGGGGGTTGAAAAAGTAATCTGAGTAATTATTGTCTAATTATGCTACTTATTTTCTTTTTTAATCTTTGTTTATCTTGTTTTAATGATATTGTCTACCGAAAATGGTTAATTGGGATTATCTTGCTTTTTATTGTCACTGGGATAAAGTTGTTTCAGTATTATTGCTTATCTCTGTATTTCTCTGTAGCAATATTATACTTCTAAATTTGTTATCGTGACAGGGCTGTCCATTTTTTTACACCTCACATCTTTAAGTGTGGATCTGAAAACTGCGTTGATATCAAGGTAAATACTACATCTGACTGAGTGGGACATGTTTGGACAGTCGTGCAAATGGGTTTTTTAGCTGAAGCACTCATCCAGCTGTTCACTGCTGTTCTTGCTCAACATCTGGGACTTCCCCCACTTGTTACATCACTATTAACCTCACTGTAAATAATGACAGTATCCCGATGCATCCACACACTCTCAAGCTCTGCTACAGTATTTTATGTGTGTCAGAGGTTGAGCTGTACATGTTTGAGCCATGTACTGGGTAGCTACGTTTCCCACTTTTGCTGGCTCAAATTAACTTATGAAATGCAAGTATTTTGTGTGTGGGAATGAGTTTGTCTTTTGGCTTTCTGTGGTTATAGAGACTAGGATCATTCTGAAGTGGCTGGGTATTACAAATAAGTAAAAACTTTCATGTCAAACATAACTGTAAGTTGAACAATTTCCTGTCGTCAGTGATCATCTAGGGTCTTTTTAATTGAGTTGAGTTAAGTGATTTGGCTATTTTATGTGTTGAAAAGCCTGTCTTTTCTATATTCAGAAAATAAATATTAAAAACAATTTATTATATTTATTTATTTTTTTAATAAACTAAGTAAACTTCAACTCAAAATTCTGAACTTTCTATACAAGGGAAAAATCTATTTGTTCTTCAGTCATTTGATCGATTAATACATTTGCATAAGTACTAATTATTTTATTTGGATTATAAGGTTTTATGTGGGACAACAGCAGAATGGAGAAGTTAGTGAGTGAGCTGAAGATTTAACTTTTTTTGTTTTTCTAAATGTAAAAAGGCAGATTAAATTCATGATTCAAATCAAGATACCTTTATATACATATATTGTTTCGTCTACTTTTTCTACATAAATCGTTGTTTTTGCATGAACTCCTGTGCAGTTGTAGTATATGAATGCAGTTTCGATCAGATACATAGTGATACATAATAGTTTTGACAGCTTTTGCCTCATTCCCTTTTAATTAACTAATAAATCGGCAGGACATGTCTTTAATCAACCAAGACTTTCTTTAGTCAACTACAGTCCTATTTCTTTGTCATGCCACCCAACTTACCCTGACTTAATTAATTGTTTTAGCCCTTACTGCCATCCTGCACATTATTATGAATGACTGTGTAAATGAACTGAATTGTGAATTGTATGTGACTCTATCTTCCTTTTGTTTTGTGGGTAAACAGTCAACAGGATAATATGTTGTGAATGAGCAGGCTGTGTTTTTCTCTGTCGACAGAATTGTTCTTAGAGTTTGTCATGCATTCTGAACAGCTACTGCACTGTTTTTCTGTTTTGTGTTGCTCCCATTGCTCCCTTTACTCACTGCCTCAAGAAGATGCATCATCTGTGAGTCCATACAACAATTTAAGGCCTACCTAGAAATAGGAAAGCAAGGCTGGCTGTTCTTCGGTCCAGTTGTAATTTAATGCATGTCACTACTTGAAAAACGTCAGTTGGGTCATATGTAATCCAATTCTTCCAGTTGATTTGAATTTGGGGTGTGTGTGGACATTGCATCCTGTTTGTATAAAAACACTGTTGATAACATCTAGGGAATGATAAATAGAGTAATTTTCAGCGCTGCACAGTATGTTGTCATAGTTTCAAGAGCTCATTTATTCATATTTAGGATTAGTTGTTTGATATTTTTGGCTTGAATTCTTGGAATACATTCAAATGGAAATCAAGTCCAGAGTTCAGTCAGGTCATTTGAGGGTGACATCCAGTTTAGATCAGAAAGAATACATTAGGCAATAGGTTGAGCAATAGGCCAGACTCAATAATTGCAAGATTGATTTATTCACATAATGATGTCCACCTTTTAGGAAACCTTTTGTTTGTTTTCTGTAGTACGGCCAAATGTGAGCTGTACAGAATTGAATAAATGACTTCTGTCATTAAGCAATTTATTTTAATTTATTTATCCGTTATTTAACCAGGAAAGTCCCATTGATATACAACATCTGCTCCGCCACAATTCCAGTAGTAAAGATACTTCTTAAATGTTTAATTCTGCTATTTATTCATTGCAGCTCAAAGGGTTTACTGGGATTATTCTGCTTTAATTATGTCAGTAGCATAAATTACATAATAGTTTCAATAGTAACATTTATTGTTTTATTTTTGTAGCAAGATATCAGACAATTATCCTGATAACAATGAAAATATATTTTGGCAATCCAACTGAAAGTCTCAGACTATCAGTGCTTTATGTAGAAGTATTTTCATATTGTCACAGTGGTAAAGATATTAATAAAGAATGTCCTTGCAAGCACTCACAATATTATTACTCTGATCTCTGTAGACAATATGGAAGTAGCAGGATAAGCAGTCTGTCTAATCTCTGCAAATGTCATCAGTCACCGTCACCACTGTCTGACTGTCCGCTCTGGGCTCTGGGCTGGACTCTTTCAGCAGACTGTCTCAAAAGCTCAAAAGCACACTTCATTTCAACACATTCTTACTAAGATAAAAGCACTTTTGGTAGTATTTAGTGTGGAAGTGTACAGGTGATGCACTTAGTCTTGCCACTGTGCCACTTGATACTGACACAGTTGCAGTTGTTTCCTTACAGTTCTCTATCTGCTATTGTTCAAAAAACTCTCACACACATTGTCTACCCTGCTTCTATGCTGCTTCTTTACTGTGTCATGTGCTGGTTTAGTATTTATCAGTATAAAAATGCATAAAAACTGGAAAGAAAAAGGTTAGTTTCTTTTAACCAATGTGATCCAATTCCAACAGAACCGTTCATCTTTATGACTGTAGATTATATTTTACAATCTGAATAAAGTGCATGATGTAAAGAGCATTTATCTTATAAACAAAATAAATACATTAAAATCAGATAAAGGCCCCTAAAGTAATCTTAGTCTTAATCAAACGTAATCATTTTTTATCATCATTGTCAAATACTTGGCGTGCATATGGAAGTATAACAGATTGTATCTTTCTGTGGCTAGAGAAATTACCATGTGGTCTTCAGTATTAAATATTATGAAGGTGTTTCTTGAGTGAACCTTTAATACACAATACTTTATTCAAAGATTTATAGTCAAGTCTAACCTTTTATTAACATTTTATTTTATTCTTGTTGCAGTTTCAATGTTTTGGTTGGCGCTCCAAAAGCCAACACCAGCCAGCCCCACGTCATTGAAGGAGGAGCCGTTTTCATGTGTCCCTGGAGCAAATCCAACTGTACAATTATCGACTTTGACAAGCACGGTAGGCAGCCTTGTTATATAGAGATACACGGATATACTGCTTCTTTGTCACCAAACAAAGTAGGCCACAGAGTCTAACTGTCTAAAAGTCACAATTGAAAAACATACCACATTCTAAATCAGAGTATTTCTGATAATTATAGTTAGAGGTTAACAGTACCCTGCTTTATTTAGGTAGCAGTGAAAGTATCTTGTCAGTTATCTAGCTCCACTGAAAAATCTTTATAGAAATCTCAAGCTGTGTCTAACCAGCCGTAAAAAGTCCCTTGTAAGAAGTTAACATCTCCGCTAAGCACCACTGCGTTGACCTGTAGGTTAGAAGTTGGGCTCCCTACTTTCTTCCCACTGCTAATCTGTGGTTATGTGTCATACCTAAAAGTACTCTTTGAAGTTCCCCTTATGTTTTAGTGGCAGGCTTCCTTGGCTGCACCCCTCCCCTCTGCATGCTCTCTATTTCGGGGCTCTTTCTGCAGTCTTTTCCACAGAGCTTTGATTTCCTGCAGTACTTTGGCGCGCTGTTGTAGCCACTGTTTAATTAAAGCCAGGGTCATTAAGGGAGGAACAGGCACGAAAAATGCATGAAAAATAATCAAGTCCATCAAACATGCAGGAAGCGATAAGGACTTTGAGGATCAGAGGGCTGGACGTGGCGCTCAGACTATCAGATGGTGCATGCATTGCAGACCTAGGTACATAAATACACACTGCAGAACTATTTACAAACTATCCCCAACCATGGAGCATAATTTAGAACTTTCAAAGGCAGCAGGAAAATAAGTATACTCACTGCTACTGCATGTTTTTACATTCACTTGCACACTTCCTATTAGGTTAGTGTATCTAAGGACACACGGCAGACTCCATGAAGTCAACAGTGGCAGGAGGCCAGAGCAGTTAATGTCACCGCTCCACTCCAGACATCAGGCCTGTAGATCAACATAGTTTGGACAGTTAGTGTGTCAAAGTCTCCCAAGAGAGTATTTAAAGGACCTTTCAGTTATGTTAGCCACTGTAAGATCAGAAATGATCATTAAATACTGAATACATTGATGTTATATCATATTATTAGACTTAGACTCACACTCACAATATAATATAATAGAGTAAGGAGAAACAATGCAAACAAATTAAATAGTGACTGACATTGGGGTTATCTTTTACATAAGAGTGAGTTGCAGTTGTATGGGGTATGCTATGAATGTAGTCCTGTATCTTTCACTGTTTGAGGAGAGCTAGGAGCACCTCTGTTCTTCTATAAATGCAATGTTAAGAAAACAACAGAAATGAAGAAATATTGATTAATCTGTCTGCCAATGTTATGATATCAATATTTTTGCTTTATATTGAGCAGCACTACTCTAGTTTGTTAACAGCTTAATAAAATCAAATTTGCAAAGTTAATGTGGCATAAAAGACTGTTAAAAAGTAGCTTATTTTTTCTATTATCTTGCCTCTAAAATGGTCAAGATTACATTATTTTTTGTGTACTGTGAATCACCAATTAATCTTGGGCTTCCTATTTACAAGACTGACTGACTGACTGGTTTATAGTTTTTGCAAAAAAGTAATTCCTAAGAATTTGTGGTTGTGTTTAGTATAGCGGTAACTGTCTAATAGTTAGATGTCACAAAATATTCTGTGTTTTTGAACAACTACTTGAAAAATCTGAACACTAGCTCTCTGTAACTGGGCCTCTTCTTAAAACAGATCCTGACAAAGACGTGTGGGTTACATTAACAACATGGCCAGAGTCGCTTTGAGCTCTTTGAAGTCTGCTGTAGCATTGAGGATAGATTAAGAGTGCAGACCCGGGCAACTAGGCTGTAAAATCCCCATATAAAACAGCAACTACATGTGGGGGCTACATGTACATTGCAGATGACTTTAAATCTGCGCTAATCATAGAAGGATCCTTGGCTTACTTGCAATAGCACCATAGGCTTAAGAGTCCAAATCAGAACCATAATACTGCCTAAAAATCCTGAAATGCATTGGCTTCTGTTTTGCTTTTCCAGGTGATCGCTATTTTTCCATAGAAGAAGAGTTAACTCAGGTTGAATTCAAGTCTCATCAATGGTTTGGAGCTACCTTGCATTCCCATGGAAACAACATACTGGTAAGATTAATCATTAGAAAAGAACATTTGAATGTAGGCCTATCATTTAAAGTTGTAGTTGTATTGTGTAGATTTCATAAGAAAATAAAAAATATCTTTGTAAAATACCATATTGAAGCTCATTATTAAAATAAATAATGCAATAATTATGCTGGAATAATAATGATATTGTCTGAAATCTTGTAATAATATTGCAGACTGTTACAGAATATCAGATTACAAGCTCCTTTTCTTAGAAGTATGGTTTTGTTGTAGCAGCAGCTAAAAAAACAGAGGGAACTACACAGACCATGATCTTTTGCTCCAAGTCAGTGCTGACTACACAGAGAAACGACTGCTATTAAGCATTTTTAAATCTTAATTCTTTCACTTATAACTGTAACCAAAGTCTTGTCATGGGATTTTAAAAGGGAAAAGCAGCATAAAACCATAGCCCTTCCACAATATTGCAATAAAAAATGTATTTGTTGTTTGAATATTGTTATATCTCTATGCCTAATAAACTTGAAACAGCATGCAGTTGTGGAGAAGCTGATCATTGTGTGCACATTTTCCTAACTGCTTTACAAAAGTCTCAGTTCATCTCTCATGAGGTGTCTCTGTTTCAGGCCTGCGCTCCCAGGTATTACTGGCGAACAGAACACGACATTCCTTTTGCAGATGTTACAGGAACGTGCTACCTCTCTGTCGACAGTTTCCGATCCTTTGTGGAGTACGCCCCCTGTAGAACAGGTAAGGAAATGGGAAATGGATGATTCACAAATTATATACAAAGAGGTCATGTCATTGATTTAATCCCCTTTATGTGATATGATTTAGGTTTGTTTATTTGCCATCTGTACTAAAAAAACACATTGGAAAAACGTGCAAAAAGCTCAAAGTGCACCATGAGACATTAAAAGCAACCACATGAGCAAACAATAGACAGTCATTACAGACATCATATGACACTGTGAAATAAACAAGAAACAAAGATGAAGGAGCTAAAATAGTAAGTTGCTCCATCAAAGTTCAAAGTGTGTTGTTGAAGCTTGTAACGGCTTGTGGGAAGAGGCTGTTACATTTGAAATTGGATTCATAATAATTGATTTATTTCTTAATTTTCCATTTGTGGAGTAGTGGAAAATGTTAGTCCATATGCTTTGTACATTGTCCAGTTAGGAATAACTTTGATTTGCTTAGTAGCCAGAGCAACCACCTAAATTAGATGTTTCAAACCAACAGATGGTCTTCATATCTGTCTGGGCACTCCATTTTCTAGTCTAGCTCTCTCACTTAATCAGAGAATTGGTATCCATTCCACCATCATAAATAATATAAATATAATATACCCTTAAGATGCAGTAGACTAATCCTCCAGCTAGGTAAGTGAGACGAAGCTTTGTCTGATCTGGATATGGGTGTCTGGGTGCTGCTCTCTGTTCTCCCACTGCTCCTGACAGGTTACCTTGGATGAAGGACGGGTTAAAAACATTTGCAAAAAAAATGTCAATTATATTGTACATTCCCACTCTTTTGCAGAAAGACATGGACCTGCTGGACAGGGCTATTGTCAAGGGGGGTTTAGTGCAGACTTTACCAAGGTAAGGGAAACATTTGCAGTATTTTTTAAAGGTCATAGTCAATATTTAGAGTAAGGGAGGCACAGACCCCTCATTTGTGGCTGCTGTTGTGTTTCAGAATGGGAGGATTGTGCTTGGAGGACCTGGCAGCTTTTACTGGCAAGGTGAGCACACAGGAATGTCCAATAGTCAGGATCATTCGCAGATACGCTCAATAGAGATTTCTCAGTATCTTTATCTGTAATTCCTGAATCAATCTTGATGTATCTATCTGACCCCTGACCTCTCTGACCTCACTGTGACCTTTTTTTTAATAGGTCAGCTGATCTCTGCCACCACTGAGGAAATAGTTAAGGCCTATTTTCCCTCTTACTTCCTGCTGTTTGTGGATGGGCAGAAGCAAACTGGACAAGTTCAGAGCAGCTATGACGACAGCTATCTAGGTGAGGAAGTGATCAAGCCAAACAATACATGCGCTTTACAACAAGGAACCACTCACCCATTTTCATACATCAGTGTACGCAGACACTGTGGGCAAGGTGGGTTAAGTGTCTTGCCCAAGGACACAATGACAGCATTCATCTGTGGGAGTTGGAATCACACCAGCCAACCTGTGGGTCAGTGGATCTGACCGCTCAACCTGTGATGTTTTTATGTCGATAGCTGTAATCGAACCACCAACCAAAAATGCCTTGACAAACCTTTGGTTCTGTCAATCCAAAGAACAAAGATTTTAAAGTGGTTAGAAAAGTTATTTCTTCATGTAGTCTGCACAAAAACAGAGCATAGGGTCGTGGTCTATGTAGTTCCCTTTGTTCTATTGTGGTACTAAAATAATGAATATAAGACTTGTAATTTGATTTTGTTGAATTTGATTTTCATCCCTATTAAATGATCTAAAACAACTATCTTTTTTCTGCAGGATACTCTGTGGCGAGTGGTGAATTCAGTGGCGATAATGAGGAAGGTGAAGTCTATTAAAATCAGTTCTTTCAAGTTTCATTTTCTGTCAAGGTCTCAGTTAAAACATTTCTCATCACTGTACAAACTCTTCACACATACTCCCAAAGTTTAGTTTTGCTCTTTGAGTAACTACTAGGGTTCTAACTATACGTTGAACATTTTTTATATTTTTTTTCTAACCAAATAAAATTTGAAATGTGCTTACTCAGGCCTTTTAGATAGAGAATATACTGTATATAGTGTATTATTGATAAAAAGAAGATATTTTTTATTTCTTTGACATTTGATTAAATAATGCCACTGTCTCTGTTATATAAGGCCATTTAGCATTTGTTTAGAAACTGTATAGTCCAGATAACAAATACAATTATAAAAATACTATTCTGATTATTTTAACAGTCACGATTACTGAAATTAATCATTGCAGCCCTAGTTACTACTTCATTCTTTTTCTCTGCAGATTTTGTCACGGGGGTTCCTAAAGGACTCTTGTTGTACGGTCTAGTAAGGATGCATCTTCCTCCTCTTTCTACCTAGTCATTGTTTTATATACATTTTCTGCATTTCAGTCAAATCTTTAACAAACATTTGTTCTTGTGTCTTCAGGTCTCTATATTAGATGGAAAGGACCTGACGTACCTGGTGAACCTGACAGGAGAGCAGGTATGTACACATCTGGTACATTTTGAGTGATGAAAGAACTTGCCCACTGGACTTCATACATATTTAGGGTTCAGAGGTCAGCTGAGTGTGTATGAGGCTCCTTGAGGCTGTATAATTGAACACAGAAACAGTTGTTGAATACTTCAGTACATGCATGGTTTCAGTTGCTTTCTCAGTGTCCTAGATGCAGTCAGTTGTATTTTCATTTCCTATATTACACAAAATTAACTCTTGTGCTTAATGCCATGTTATAAAATTGTTACCTCATCAAAAGCATACCTGGAGTTATGTTTTATTTCATTTACACATGTTTAAGCCTGGTTTATTAGTCCGTCTACATCTCCAAAGCTCAAGATGCTGTGTTCCACCTTGTGATGTCATGTCATAGTAGTTTTCATGTTTCCTTTTACATTTTGTTTAGTAAACATTGTCAATTCATCATCCAAATTAGTCAAGTGAAAGTGTATGGAGTTTAAAAACACAGTGAGTATGTTTTATCATATGACATCACAAGGTGGACAGAGTGTTTTATGTCTGAGAGAAGAACTCAAGCCTAAATATGCAGATATTGTGTGTTAAACATGTATGAATGAAACAAAATACAACTCAGGGTATGTTTGTGATGAGGAAACAACATTATAACATAGATAGGGAAAGTTTGTAAAAGGTTACAAACTATTACACATTAACAACATGACACACATTTTACTTAATTTAAACATAAGGCAGCAGTGGCTCATTGGTTGGAGTGTTTGCCCACCAACTCAAAGCTCTGAGGTCGGATCCTAGCTCAGACCACTGCTGCTACATTTGATGTTACTGCACCTTTTCTCTACTATGTGCATTTTGAGAACTTCTGCTTTTTAATGCCAAAGTCAAAACTTCCCACATGTTTAATCCACCCACAAAGCTCATTTATAAGTACAAATGAGTCACTTGAAGCTGGAAACTTTACCCCACCACTTTGAGCAGTGCTAAAATAAAGTCACCAAATATTATTGTTGGCGCATAGAGACCAGCTACATCCTTGTCCCTCATCTCTTAACCTTCAAGTGTGTGAATTTGTGTATGTTGTTACGTGTGTGTGGGGTCCTCCGTCCCATGTGGCCTGAGGGTGCTGAACAAGCTGAAGAGTTACAGTTAGTACACTGGTGAGGATTGTTCAAAGTCAGCTGCAAAAACACCCCAAAACACGAGAAAAATATACAAAGCTCTATTGTATCTGTCTTGGTCTAGACTGTGTACTTTGCAACTAATAATTCTGCACACACTGTAAGATATTTTGATTTGTGTGTGTGTGTGTGTGTGTGTGATTAAAAACAAGATTTTCATATAACCCCAGAAGATATTATGAAAGTGTTGTCCAGTCTACTGCAGCTATGTTTCCTTTGTAGGGAGTATTATATCTCTGTAAACCAAGTTATCAAGGACTGAGGTGGCTGTGAGAGCCCTCAGTACAGAACAGCTGTCCAATTTCTCTATCAACTGGTAAACAGTTTAAGGAAATTTGTTACATTATTGTTGCGTTGTTGTTTGATAGTGCTAATAGTTTATAACATACATTTCACTATATGTAACCGTAGACCAGAAATTGTTCAGTTTATGGTTGTTTATTTGGTTAGAATTTATTTAAATAACAGGACTTTCCAATGATAGAAATACAAAGCCGCTTCTTGGTTTCAGTACCATGTGTTTTCCCCTGTTCCCTGACGATTACACAAGGCCTAGTGCAGTTTGTGTTTGTATATTTCTGTGTAGTTTTTGTGGTAATTCCGTGGTAAGTTTGAAGTAATATTTAACTATATTAATAAAACAAACAAAAAATGAAACTGAGTCATATGTCTAAACCCAGCTAAGAGGGGCAGTCAGCATGCTGTTTTTTTTTGTTTTTTTTTGGAAATTTCTTTAAGCAGTGTTGTTCTTATTGTGTGATATATTGGTAGTGTAAAACTGCAAGATTCTGATCATGCTTCTCTCAGTGAGTTTGAGTGCTTGGTAAAACAGTGCTTCTTAGGTATCACAGCAGGAAACGAACTTTGTCCTTTGTCTCACTTTGATTTATGATGACTGAGTTGTTTTGAATGCAGGAGTTACCAAAAGGCCCTCTTGAGCATGGTCTTGTTTTTCACCACGGTCCCCAGACTCCAAACTTGTGTCGAAACACTACAAATGACTTTGAAGTCGCCAGCAAAGGACGTAACTTGACCCTAATTTATCAAACATGGTATGAAATTGAAGCGGAAACCTTTAGCGCATTATGAAGGAGTTAAAGTGCCATATGTGTGGACCCCCTGCGTTTGTCAAAGCTCGTAAAGGTCTTAACTTTAAGCTCTGCGAAAAGAGATAGGCCGAACTCTTGGGGATATTGGAGGAAAGCTTGGGTCGCTGCTACAATATGAAAAAGACAAGAATATAGGGGGAAGCACAAAGCGTTTCGTGCACTGTGGTGAGATTACTGGCTGACTGGGTTGTACATAATGTGTTCCAGATGGGCTCCTACTTTGGCTACGCGGTGGCAGTCACAGACATCAACAGCGACGGGTGAGTGAGAGACGGATGGATACACGGTTTACAGAGAGATAAGAGAGGGGGGTAAACTTTGAGCAGAGGCCAATGAAAACAGAAGTGCTTGAATGACCTTAGAAGTGAGGTCATTGAGGAGACAGGGAAGTTTCTCACACTAGTGTTTGTCATTCAGAAACTTAAAATTCCTTATATGTACTATTTTTATATATATTTTTTACTTTCACTTCATTTTAAAATTAATTTTAGTCAGATTTATAGTGAACTTAATATTGTATAAAAAATTGTTCATCTTAGTTAATTAGTTAATTTTAATGAAACTGTCAATACAACTGCAAGCTAAATGAGAAATTAATCACTTAAATTAAATTCCAAAATAAAGGAATAATTAGAAAGTACTTGGTTCTTGGTACATGGTTGCCACCTTCTTGACCCCTAGGTTGCTCCTTTTTTTGCCTGAAATGTTCCACAGTTTGGCTTAAAATTTGTCTCAAAGGAGAGAAGCAGGTGACTTCAAGTTACAGGTCAGATTTGTGGAAATGCGAGCCTGCTTATAGTATTCTTGTAAGGTATGTTTAGCAATAAAAATACCTGGACTTGAATTAATGCAGTATGGAAAAGTTTAATGCCATGCTGCCAAAAATTCCAGGAAGAAAAAAAATCTCAAACATCCCAGGCATTAACATCCCACCATTAATGTTACATAGGGCACTTTTAATTTGTTTTCAGACTATACAACAGGCCTACAGCACCAAGCTTTAAAATAGTTCATCTAGATATAATAGATATATCTGTTTTCTTCTCCAGTCTGGATGACGTGGTTGTGGGGGCTCCACTCTTCATGCGCCGGAGGCCTGCTGGACAGTTGGAAGAACTGGGCAAAGTCTATGTGTACCTACAGAAAGGGCCCCTCCATCTCGAACTCAGTCGCATGAATCCTGTGGGCTCCCAGGCCTTTAGCCGCTTTGGAACCTCTTTAGCTCCACTTGGTGATCTGAACCAGGATGGCTTCAATGGTATGTGTAGAAATATACTTATAGAGCTTGAGTTTTATCGACCAGTCTAATTGTTTTAAGGGATTGTTATACAGGTGTTCTTCAACAGTGCTCAGTCAGACTTGTATTTCGATTTATCGCATGCATGTTTAGTAATTCAGCATTTAAGGGTTGAGTGCTTAGAAATTTTGTCTTTACATCCACCCCTATTTCTTGGTAGTCACTCTGGGTCACAGGTGGTTCAAAAAGTCACGTAGCCCTTTTTCAGCAATAAAAACAAGCCAATGTGAAATGTGATGTGAAATGTCACTATGAAGAGGTGTCAGTATCAGTTTTGCAATATTGTCATTGTGGAAAGACACTCCACCCACATTGGCTAGTATGAAAGTGGTGTGAGAGTGTGGGTGGTGGTTAGAGGAGCCAAATGGTGCAAATGACAATAGCAGCTTACAACTATTGAGCGTGGAGTGAATGAGTAATGCAATGCAAACCAATTTAGGTGCCTTAAAATGTGCTATATTAGTCCAATGCAATGTTATTAAGCCATTTTAGATCTATATTGCTTTTTCAGTTAACTGAATGTAAACCGAATCTCTGTATATAATAAAAAGGCATAAAATCTTCTTTAACATCTTTGTCCAGATCTTGCTATCGGCTGTCCATTTGGAGGAGAAGACCAGCAGGGATTAGTTTTTATTTATAATGGTCATGAGAAAGGCTTGGAGGACATGCCCACACAGACTCTCTCAGGTCAATGGGCATCCAGGGCTTTTCCAGCTGGTTTTGGCTTCTCACTTCGTAGTAACAAAGATGTGGACCAAAATGGCTACCCAGGTTGCTATAGTTTGTTCTTTTGCCATGCTCACTTTATGTCCCCTATACACCTATGTGATTACTCTGTACCTTGTCATGCAGATTTGCTTGTTGGTGCTTTTGGTGCAGATAAAGCAGTGTTATACAGGTTAGTTTGTTAATCATTGTTATTTGTCTACTTATTTATTGTCAACTATTATACTCTATTTAATTATCTATCCTTTTCTACTCAGAGCACGTCCCATTGTGAATGTTAATAGTACGCTGATAGTCCACCCTACCATGTTCATCCCAGAGGAGAAAGCCTGTGTATTGACGAGTGGAGACAAGACTGTTCCAGTGTCATGGTATTACACAGTTTATAAAGTTATACCCTCACAGTATATCTAGACAGTTATTGAACTTTGCTAATATAATAATTATGGCTGATTTCTATTCATCAATTTGATGCTTCTATTTTTTTAATTGAGAGGTCTGCATACGATTGTCTGTTAATAAAAGTGTGTAGTTTGGAGTTAAAATTTGGAGGAAGAAATTACTATTTTTGGTGTTAAATGGCAATGTTGGAAGTCTGTATTGTGTACGTTTAGTAAATTAATACTAAAAGGCATTTTAATTTGCATTTAATTAGATAAATCTAAACTGAACCCATATGTATAATTTTCCACATATTAACTGTCCACTTTTTGTTAAATTGACATGTAGATAATGCAGGAAAAATTTCATTCATTCATTCATTTCAATATTGTAAAAAAATTGAATGATTATAAATTATTAGCCTTGTAGTTGCTCAGAGGAAGTGATTTGTTAGATACTAAAACAATGTGGTATATATGAACACTCTATATTTTCTACAGGCTACATGTGCCGGCTAAGATTTAAGGTTAAGTCTTTCCACAATGAAGCTGATTTGTTCCTAAACATATAAGATCCAGGTCTTTGTGGGTGAAAACTAAATTCTGCTAATGTCATGCACACATATTTCCTATATTTCCTACACAAGAAAAGAACTTCCTTTTCCTCCCAAATCTTATTATATAAACATCGTTAGTACCATGAGATAGACTGGATAAAGAGATGTTGCTTGGAATGACAAATTCCTTTTCCTTGGTGAACTTTTCCTTACCCTCTTTTCCCCGTTGTAAAAGGTTGCTGATTTAGAGTGTACCTAAAGTTATACAAGGAGGTCCTGTTATGAGGTTTATTGGTTTTCTGGCTGCCGTGGAAACAAAGAAGAAATAGGAAGGTTGCATTTGGAAAAGTGTTGGATAGGACGTAGATTCTCACTCAAAGGTTGGAAAATGGTTGTAATTTTCTAAAAAGATGGTGCCGTCCTCTGTGGCTTTACGCAGGCTGACGCACTTTGAGGTATAGATGCCTTCATGGCACTTATTAAGGAGTTTTTTTGTAGTTTCTTTATTTAGGGTAGAGTGTGTGTAGAGATGCTTGGGCAATGTGTGCTCTGATGGATTATAATGGCACGGTGGATTGTTTCGACCTTTTCACATTTACAGTGTGCCAAATCAGATTTTATAATTTTGTCTTCAGACATTTACCATCCAAGTTCTTTCTTTTCTTAGTTCTTTCCATGTAAAAACAAAACAAAACAAAGGACTTGCAACTTTCAAGACTAGGACACTTTAGTTTCCGAATGTGGACATATTTTCAGAAACCATTTGTGGCTTCATTGTGTAGTGTTTTATAAAATATGACAGACATTTAAGAATTCCACTCTGAGCAATAACATTTGAAAGAAAAAAAATTACCTGCTCATGCTAATGTGAAACAAATGATCCGTGTTGTGATGTTATGATTTGTAGCACCTGCAGTTTGTACTGTTGTCATTTAAATGCCATTTGCATGAATTGCAGTGTGAGCATCAGTTTCTGCCTGCTGGCTAATGGGAAGCACCTCCCCTCTCGTCTAGGTGAGACACACACACAATCACTCACGCACACATGGTCCCTATTACGGTGCTTTCTTTGTGTGGCCACAAGAATGTAGGACTTTACTGCAGTCAATTTGGAGGCTCAGATCAAGATAAAAGAGCAATTGTGTAAATACAGACGAACGTGCTGCTGAGCTACAGTAGTTCATTTCAGTTAAATGTGTGTGTGTAGTTTTTGCCATGTGCTCTACACATGATTTTATGAATTGACTGCTATCACATTGAATATTTTTTCAGTACCAAAAATCTCTATGAACATTGAACTGATTGATTTTCAGAAAAAGGATCAAACGTATCAAAAAGTTCAAAAAGAAAATACTCAAAAGCAAAAACATTACAAAAAAAAACTTGAAGACATAAAGATGATCAGACTTCTTATAACTTTAGTAAAATCTAACATTTTTAATTCATCTCTTGTATCTCTGGTCTTTCTAAATCTCTCTCTGTCCATTTGAAGGATTCGTTGTTGAAATTCAGCTGGACAATGTGAAGTTGAACCAGAAGGAATCAACCAGGAGAACTCTGTTTTTGGACAGTAAGGAGTCGAGTTTAGTGAAGAACTTCAGCCTGGAGACCAATGGAGACAGCGTGTGCCATGACTCAAAAATCTACCTTCTGGTCAGTCAGAATGCTACCTTAATATGATTTGATATTAGTAACTTTTCTGTGTAAGGGACTACTACCTGCTTGTTTCCTCAAAGATGTTATTGTTTTTCATGCCATAATAACTGCAATATTGTAGTTCTTATAAATGCTTGAGATTTAGCTTCTCTCCACAGATCTAACTTAACTCATTTAACTAACATAACTAGATCTGATAGCATCACCCACTTGACTTTATAAAGTTAGTAACTTCTAATGCCATACTGTGAAACATTCCAAGCCAAGAAATCACATCTCTATACAAACAGGTGGTGGACAGGCCACTAGAGCACCTTTGACTGTGTGGTCAAAATTGCATACACTGTCTGCTTAATAACTTCATGTACATATTCTTATTAATATTTTGTTGTCCTTCCATGACTTTTATCTACATATTCATATAATTTTTTTACTTACAAGTTTTTATAAAGTGATAGTGACAGCAGTGCTCATAGGTCGCAGAGTGTGGTGGAAAAATGTTCTGTGGCTGACAAAAAATTGGCTTCAGTGGAGAAAGTATTGATAGAAAGAATGGGGAAACATGCAGTGGTTTCTTGTGATTTTAAATGCTGCATTGAACTTGTCTTATGGGCCAGGTGACTCCAATTTCCCAGAGAGTGAACAGAGGTCAAAGTCATTTTCTAATACTCATTGATGCTTCTCTGATGTCATGTTTTGAGTGACATCTCTGGGAAAAGGAGAAAACAAAACAAAACAAAAAAAGAAACGTAGAACTAAGCAAGCATTTTCAGAAATACACTGCCAGTCAAAAGTTTCCACTCATTCATATATACATATTTTTTAAACTACTTTCTACATTTTATATTCGTATGAAAGACCTCAAATATATGATGAATGATATATGGAATTATGTAGCAAAGAAAAAAGTGAAATTACTATATATTACTATATATGTGTTTCAGAATGAGGCAGACTTTCGAGACAAACTTTCTCCCATTTACATCAGCCTAAACTTCAGCCTGGATCCCCAAGCCCCAGTGGACGAGCACGGTCTGAGCCCAGTCCTCAACCACCACGTTCAATCGCTCATACAGCAGCAGGTCAGTGTATTTCAAATCACACTGCAATACCTTTATTGTTTCTGGCCTTTTTATACTCATAGCACCTCTGAAATACACAGAAAGCTGCACATACTCCATGTGAAAGGCACTTAACACTTAATTGGCTTAGTCTTAAATTGCATGTAAGTTTTAAGATGTTGTAAGTTTTAGATAGAGGTTACGAAATCTTCCACTCTCCATGGAAATGTTGTTATTATGTCAGGAATTTACCAGAAAACTGTGTAATGCCATTTCTGTGGAGACCAATAGGCGGCCTCCACCAAAACTAATTAATTTTGACAATAAAAAATTTAACAGAATAAATGAATAATAGATTTATAGAAGTTTATACAGTCCTATGCCATGGAACATTCCTGGCATGGCAATAATATTTTCATGAAACAAGTACGTGATGAACCCTTCACCAGAAAAGTTACACAGTGCATCTTTAAACCTTTTATTTAATCACCTCATTAGATTGTTGTATATTAGAATTCTTAAGAGTACTGGAGGGTGAAGTCTAAATAATTCAGACCATATGTCAGGGTTTAGAGTGATAAATAATTAGGTCTGTTGACATAACAATTAATAATTTAAAATAAAGCAGTATATCTTTTGAATTAGACTTAGACAAGCTTTACTGATCCACAAGACAAATTATTTGGACACAGTAGCTCACACATCACAATAATAACAAAGAGCAAAAATATAAATGGTAATAATAAATTCTAAATAAGTAGCAAAAATAGTAAGAGACTGCTTTCAAAGGCATAATTATACAAATGTATATGTACTACTAATAATAAAATATAGAAATATAGTAATACCATACATCTCAGCTGTATACAAGAGGTAATCAAGTACAAGAATTGTGAAAGCTTGTCAAAATGTCCCATAAAACAGGAACAGGTCTACACACAAACATTTTTTTTTTCTCTCTCTTAACAATGTTTTTCCTTTCTTTATCTCTCTGCCATTTTGCCAAAGAATGATAAAACAAATCCTGACAGTACATTACAACAAAACCTTCAATCTCAACAACTAAGCCTAAGACTTCTCCTTTTATTTCCCCTTTGTGCTCTTTATCAAAAGCATGGGGTTTATCTGTGTGTAAACTTGTGAAGCGTGTCTATATATTACACTGCCACACCAAACATGACCACACCGTTTACAGGGCCTCTTGTATTGCGTGTCTGTAGCAAGCAGATGTTCACCTCTGCAATTACCATCTCAGAGACACCAGTACCAGATGGTCTATGTGCAACACGTCACTTGCCATTTTACATGTGGCCATAACTTATAAACTAAATCCAGACTTTCAATTTGTCCTTAATCCTTTATCATTGAAATTGTGGACAACAGATGTATTTGGATTGAAACTTGAGGTTACAGACACACATTTTCAAACTGACTTCAAATGTTGGGAGCTCTTTTAAGTGTTGATCCCATATGGTTAGGTCAAGCCTTGCAGACCAAATGCTGATTACTGTGCTTTGGGCTCTTTTTTGGTTTCCATATGGAGAGTTTATAGAGGATTGGCAAGTCATGGCTGTGCAAAAACACAAGGCAGGACTGACAGCTCCACTGGGTGTGTCTGCACGCCTCCCTGGACATCTGGTCGTGGTTTGTTTATGTATGTTGCCCATGGTCCCCTGAACCAGGCAAGAGTAGCAGCTGGAAGTGTGCTAGTTTATCCAAGTGATAGGATTTGATGGCTCTCTATTTCACATATTTGGAAATGAGGAATTTTATGAACTGCCTGCCCTGTTAGACCTTGAGAGTTTTAATGTCTTTGTGATTCTCTCTGTTTGACATTTGTTCAAAATGTTAATAATTAATCTCCTGGGCACTGTAAACATGGCTCATACTGCTATTTTTTTCTGTTTTGCCATGTGTACATTGGAAGCAAGAGAGTTTTATTTCTGCAACCAATCATAAAACATGGACCATTTTTGTGTTGTATTCATCTCCATGGTGATGTTATTCTTTTGCATGAAATGTTCCTTATGAAGGAACACAACATATATATCTCCATGGACACATGCAGATAACATGTAAAACTTGTATTGAAACTAACATAAAAGTAGATACTCATTTGAAGTATTGATATTTGAGTACTGAGATTTAGAAAGCTTTTGAGCTATATCAGCACTAATTTAAGACCACACGTAGTAAAGTGTGTATTTTCTATACACATGGTAACATGGATCTAGCAAACATCAGATGGGAATATGAAAGTGAGAAGACCTTATTACAACAATCTGTACGTGCTTTGGATGTTATGAAGAACTATAGAATGAGGTAGAAAGAGTGCATGGCGACTCTATATGCCAGCCTACTGTATATCCTAGCTCTTTGTAGCATTCCTTCTTACTCCTCTTTTGATGCTAATGTTTCCCATATGTTTAGAGGGATGAGGCTTGGACCAAAGTGACAGTAGACCCAACTTCACCACACTGCACATGTACAACAACAAATGCTTAACAGACAACAATGGCAAATTACGACTTTTTATGTGTTTTTGTTTTGTCAGTATGCTATGTTAAACAATAGGCTGAAATGTGCTGTTTGAATTCTGTTTGATCATACTACCAAAATGTTTTTGAATGGCCAATGCTTCATTGATTCACCATGAAAATGTGACAAACATACAGTAAAGGTCCTATATTATGTGAAATTGACTCTTGTGAGCTTTTAGCCATGTTGTTAACTCATCAAAAACATGTCTGGAGTTGTGTTTTGTTTCATTCACATATGTCTGTCTACATCTCCATAGCTCAGAATGCCTTGTTCCATCTTGTGATATCATGAAGCGGTAGTTTTCAGCTTAACAACTGCCTTTTACCTTTTGTTCAGTAGAGATTGGCAATTCCAGACCTGAAATTATCCAACTGATTCTAGTGAAAGTGTATGAAGTTTAAAAACACAGTGGAGTGCTTCTTGTATTATTATTACCACATGACATCACAAGGTTGAACAGAGTTTTCTGTCTGAGAGAAGAACTTAGCCTAAACATCCAGGGTTTGTGTTTTAAACATGTGTGAATAAAAGAAAACAAAACTTCAGGTATGTTTTTGATGAGGAAACAACATATTATACACAACATAGATCAGAAAATAGAGTAATATGAGCCCTTTAAAAAGGACAGGTCTGTTGCTTTAAACGTATGCGTGCAATTTTATCCTTTCATTTTAGCCCAAATCTCATGCTTGGGCTTCTGTAAACATGCACTTCCTCCATGGCCTGCCCTCCATACCTCTAGGCTCTGTTCCCTCGCTCTCTCCATTTTGCTCCTCATCAAATCTGCAGCTTCCCCCTCTGCCCTCATTTATCTGTGTCCTGTCTTTCTTCAGGCTCACATTCAGCTGGACTGTGGAGAAGACAACATCTGTGTCCCTGACCTGAAGTTGGCTGTTTATGGGTGAGAGGAAGTTATCTTTTACTACAAAACCCTTTGAAACTAAACATACTATGTGGTTTTCCTACTATGAAACAATAACGGTGTGCCTATCTTGCCCATTTGAAAGAGTTTCTATCTTATCGTCTGATTTGATAACCCCAAAGTGACCTGTGAATTTTTTTTTTTTTTTGAACTTAAATTTTTATTTTCTTTTTCAGCAATAATACAATTATTTAAAATCAATGAAAACATTTCAATTTTTTTTTTATTTTTTTTTTTTTTTAAAACAATATAGGTTTGTTACAAAAAAAGAAACAAGAAACAAGCAAGCAACCGGGTAATAATGACATAATTAAACATAAAACATCCACTCTTTATGTATCAGAGACAGTTATAAAAAAAGAAAAAAAAAAAAAAAGCCCCATGTCGTTTCTACTGTATTAGCAAAGGCAAAACAGGTTTCCAGCGCTTAATAAAAATGTTTTTTTGAATCCTTAAAGAATATGTTATCTGCTCCATTTGGTATATATCCCATACTTTCTGAATCCATATGTTATAAGAGGGAGGATCTGGTTTGAGCCATCTAATGGTTATACATTTTAAGGCTGCAGTAAGTAAAATGTTTAAAAGGTATTTTTCATCTCGTGTGCCAATACTTGCAGGTAATGCTCCTAATAATGCTACTACTGGGGTAGATGGGACACATCGATTAAAAATGACTTTAAGGGCATCAAAAACTTCCCTCCAAAACAAATCCAGTTTAGGACAATGCCAAAATATATGTGTGTGGTTAGCACTGACCACACCACAGTTTCTCCAGCATGAGCCGGAATGTATTGGACCCATTTTAGCAGTTATTTCTGGAGTTCTGAAAAATCTGGTAACAACTTTCCACTTGAATTCTCGCCAGATGGCTGAATTTGTAACAAGATGTGATTCTGTACATATCTGTTCCCAGGAATCTACCGATATATCTATTATCATCTCCGCTTCCCATCTCTCTCTCGTATATATTGAGTATTATTATTACACATATTCAATAAAAATATGATATAGATTACTGATAATTTTCTTATCTTCATTATTTAATTGGTTTTACAAGGAACTGCTCTATAGGAGCAGGGCACAATAGTTTTTCCCAATCTTTATGAGATGTCAAAAATGATCTTAATTGTAAATACCTAAAGAAATCAGTGTTGGGAATGCCAAATTCTGACTTCAACTGTTGAAATGTTTTAATCTTATTGTCCTTAATCAACTGGTATAGGTGTGTTAAATTATAATAATCTGACCATTTTCTAAATCCTACATCTAATCTGTTGGGTACAAATGTTTTAATAGACCCAATATTAGTTAATGGTGAAAGCATCTTAGACAGCCTAAACATGGATCGTATTTTATTCCAAACATTTAGAGTATTTTTTGTCCAAACAGACATTTCTTTTATAGGAGTATCTAGAAAGGGCAGATTTCGCAAAGAATCTGTACACATACTGTCTTCTATGTTAAGCCAGCGAGTTACTGTATCATTTTTGATCCACACCATCAATGGCTTCATCTGGGCTGCCCAGTAATACAATTTAAAGTTGGGAAGCTTAAGACCACCATCGGCTTTGGCCAGCTGTAAGCTTTTGAGTCTAATTCTAGGACGCTTCTTTTGCCATATAAATGCTGATATTAATTTGTTAAGGTGATTGAATGTTTGTTTAGGGATCTCCACAGGTAACATCTGGAATAAATAAAGAAGTCGTGGCAGAACATTCATACGTTCACTTTCAACTCTACCCAATAAAGAGAGCGGGACAGAGGTCCATCGCTCTAAATCATTGCTAATATTCCTTATAATTTTACTGTAATTTACTTTATATAAATCACTTAAAGAAGGCGGGATATTAATACCAAGATATTTGATACCATCCTTGGGCCATCTAAATCCACTTTGAAGTTTAACATTATCAGGGACAACATTATTTACATCAATGCTTTCTGTTTTATCCATGTTCACCTTATATCCAGAATAATATCCATACTGATTAATGAGCTGTTTTAAATATGGAATTGTTGAAGTAGGTTCAGTGAGATACAGTAGAACATCATCAGCATACAATGATATTTTATGCTTTTCTCCATTTATTATAATTCCTTTTATATTCTGGTCATCTCTAATAAACTGGGCAAGTGGTTCAATACTGATGGCAAACAGTCGGGGAGAGAGAGAGCAGCCCTGCCGACAACCACGTTCTAATGTGAATCTGATCTACACCCATTAACCCTAACTGCTGCTTGTGGGGATGTATAGAGAGTCTGCACCCATTTAATAAAATCTGGACCAAATTTAAATCGTTTTAGTACTTGTAATAAATATTGCCATGATACTCTATCAAATGCTTTTTGGGCGTCTAAAGTTATGATCACCGATTCCAGTTTTTTATCCTTCAGATGGGAAATTATATTTAATAGGCGCCGAACATTATCTCCATAATATCGTCCTGTAATAAAACCGGTCTGGTCAGGGTGTATAATTTGAGATATTATCTTGTTAACACGTCTGGCCAGTACAGCTGTTTGTATACGCAGGTCACCATTCAGCAAAGATACAGGTCTATAGGACTGACAATCCGTCGGGTCTTTACCCTCTTTATGAATTACAATTATAGTTGCCTCAGTCCATGATGGTGCCATAATGTGTTTATCCAGTGCATATCTATCTGCACTCAGCAACAAGGGAGTCAGCAAATCCTTAAAAACCTTATAGAACTCATTGACATAGCCATCTGGGCCCGGACTTTTATTATTTTTAAGAGAGGAAATAACCTGCTTAATTTCATTCTCTTCAATTGGTTTATCCAAACCCTCTGCTGATAAGTTTGTCAATTCTGTTACATTAATGTTCTCCAAGTATCTTGTAAGGTCTGTCTCGTTTGAGCATGTACCTGTATTTTTATAAAGTGATTCATAAAACTCTGCAAATGATTTTGAAATATCATTTGGTTTTGTGACAAAACCTGATTGGGATTTGATTTTCTGGACTATGTTTGAGGATTGTTGCTTCCTAAGTCTGAATGCTAATAACTTGCAGGCTCTATTTCCATGCTCATAGTACCTTTGGTTTGTAAATCTTAGGTTTCCTTCAATTTTATCAGACAATAGACTATTAAGTTCTCTGCGAGCCGCATTTAACTCTTTTGTAATCATGGTTGTTGTAAAGCGTTTATGTTTATATTCCAGAGTTTTAATTTTATCTTCCAATTCCTGCTGTTTGGCTTTCTTCTCTTTCTTTCTTGCAGAGGCAAATGAAATAATGAGGCCTCTGATATATGCTTCAGCACAGTCCCATAAGATTAAGGGGTTAGTTTCTGATGTGGAGTTGTTATTGAGATATTCCTTAAACTCGGCTGTTATAAAGGACAAAAAATCTGTATCATTCAGGAGGGAAGTATTTAACCTCCACTGTTTAATTGTTGACCTGTGCCCTACATCCCATTGTAATAAAATGGGTGCATGGTCAGAAATGGTTATCGGCATAATCTCAATATGCTTAATTCTGTGCAGATCTATTTTGGGGGTAAAAAAATAATCTATTCTTGAATAAGACAAATGTCTGTTTGAATAAAAAGTGAAATCTCTACTTCTCGGATACTTGCTTCTCCATACATCTACTAGGCCTGCTTCTGCAGCATGATGTTTGACTGCTTTACTCATTCTAGACATTGATGTCTTGGAGGGTGGTTGTCTATCAGCAAGCTGAGACATTACACAATTAAAATCCCCACCCATCAGCAAGAGCCCTGTACTATGCAGTAGAATTGTATTGAACAATGTCCTAATAAAACCCGGCTCATCTTCATTAGGTGCATAAACATTAAAAAGGGACACATCTACACCGTCTATCACACCATTAACTAGGAGAAACCTCCCCTCAGTGTCCTTATGCATTGAGGTTTTTGTAAAGTTGATCTGCCTGTGGATAAGTCTGGAAACCCCTTTCTTTCGTCCAGATCTGTGGGAGGAGTAATATATCTTATCTGCCCAGGACTTTAATTTTTCGTGTTCTGCATCAGATAAATGTGTTTCTTGTAGAAATGCTATATGGCAATTAAGTTGTTTAAGCTGGCATAATATTTTCTTTTTCTTAATTGGATTATGAAGTCCTTTCACATTATAACTTACAATTCTTAAATCGCCCATCACACTCTAGATTCTAAATTTGAATCAACTAATTGGGGGAGAGGACAGGAAGCGGAGATGTTGATAATGGCTTGGTCTTTTATAAATCCATATTAAGATTGAGATGAAATATTGTAACCATTCTGAGTGGACAAAGCAAACACAGATAATAATGTTAATTAAACGATGTAATTGAACCAAAGAGGATAACCCAGTTGCTTGATCGTTAAACTCAGGATCCCTGGGGAACAAGGGGATCAAAACCAAAACACTGAACCTAAACTGATCACAAACACTTAAAGTAGACATAACAAAATATACGTGGGGAAACTCGTCCCTGGCTGCTCAACAAGCAGTAGAAGTGCGCGGTCTAGATTTAAGTTGACTGTGCCTAAAGGTTAGCCAAGACAATAACAAAAGATAAAAGTAAACCAAATTTGAAACAAAAAGAAAAAGAGCAATATCCCAGGCTCCTGCAGTGAAATAAATACCACAGCTCTTTACTTCCACATATTCATGTGATAAATATTGGCAAAAGTATAACCTGCATAATAACGTAATGTAAATTGTAGATAAAGTAGGATATAGTAATAATAATATAATACTGATAATAACCCGTATCAGTCCTTATGGCCTTCTGACAATAATGTCATAGCTTTTGTTGTTACATACGCTCTTGGATGAATTCAGTCATCTGGCTCCGGCCGCTCCTCTGGGAGAATGCGCTTGACATAGTCCATGGCCTTCCGATGGTCCAAAAAGTCCTTACTCTCATCCTTGTACGTAATTCGGAGACGGGCAGGAAAAAGCAGACCGTAGCGTACGTCCCTCCGTCCTCGTAGTGCTCCTCGCAC